GGAGTATGTCCAAGCAGAGGCGATTGTAGGATTGGGCCTAAATTTGTTTAAATGATCTATGGAAATATAAAGTGAACTGTAAAGTGTTGTATTTAGAATTCACATATGCTCCTGCTTTTCCACAGGCAAAGTTTTTGTCCATGAATGGGCCCATCTTCGTTGGGGAGTATTTGATGAATATAATAATGATGCACGTTTCTATGTGTCTGTAAACTCTGGAAAAGCAAATGTTGAAGCAACTAGGTACCAATGTTTTACATTTTGTCTTCAGCTGATGAAATTTTAAATATCTCAGTGATACTTGTGACATACTGGTTATCTGTGTTCAGTCTTGAGCCCCATGCGAAGAGTCTTGTAAAGTTGTTGTTCAAAGGATTAAAAAAGAAGCTTATACAATAATGTTTAACTAACAATATTGCTGTCTACAGACTAGTCTCATTGAATTATCACTATCATTTTGTAATGCGTCACATTTTTAACACTAAATGAGCTTTTAATTTAGATACCATTACAGATTTGAGTTCCCATTCTCTACATTCTGATTTACCCTGGCTTTATCAAATAGCAGTTAGCATGTAGTAAATAAGAATGTTTTCTCAAGTTCCTCGGGCGGCTGGCGATGCGGGGCGGGGGGGAAGATCCTAGAAGTTCCAAAACATTCTTACTAGTTCATGTTTAGTGTTATTTAAATATTAAAAATGGACATGGTCAAAGTGCACATCCCATTATTGCCCTGTTTTAGCGCTATTACTATATTATGATAATATTCTCCAGATTCTTCATATTTAGGTGGGGTTTTTTTTAATGTACAACTCTGTCAATGAGAAACAAAAAACAGAGTGAGACTGGATATCTCAGTGGGTTTGAAATGGGATACAGAACTTTTCACCTCTCAGGCACTGATCTGAACTGGAACCAGTTTGTTAGTGCCGAAAACTCATTACCATCTGCCAGTCACTTGTTGACCGCCGTGAAATGAATTAGTGTTTTCAGTCCAATTCCTAATGGACAAGTATCAACATCACCAAACTTCTGTACTGCAATTGGCACTCTAATTGGCAATCACCACTGAAGGAGACTGTGACAGGGCTCCCTGCTCCGCCCTTTCAAACACCGCAAACCGGCTGGACACATTCCAGGTTTATAAGCATGAGTGTGTTATTTATTAGGTCCCTTCCACTAGTTCATCAGTACAGCCTTGGGCATCAACATATGAGTGTACATAAACTTCCCCATAGCCCACTCTCTGGGGTGGCAGAGGGAAAGATATCCTCATCATGTGCCCCTGTATCTCCTGGCATCCTCCCTCTTGCATTTCCTTCCTGCCTCTTAAGTGCTACCAGCTGATGGGTGATTGCTTTCATTAGCACATCAGCCCTGTGTCTAATTAAGCCACTGAGCACACATCTCCCAGTTAAGTCCACTCCAGGGGGAATAGCTAGTACCTTAGTGATCAGAGTGTTGGGTCAGCTTTAGCCCTAGAACTCCGTCCCAGAGACAGTGATTGAACGGGCATGGAGAATGTAGTACCCGTTCACCTCAGGAGAGAGTCCTTCATGTCTGGATTGAGGCATATTGATGGAAGAGTGGAGGCACTTAGATTGTTATTCTTCACATAGATGGTGTTTCACACACAACCTATAAATAATTTCTTGAGGATGCCTCTGGGGAAAAAAAGACTACCAGTATTTTATTCTTGTGACCACTTGTAAATTAGATGGTAAAGTCTTTGGAGTAGAGATGGTGTCTAACATGGGCGGCGGGTATCAAAGGCAGGGGAAGCTAAGCCTATGAAGACTGCCTGCATGGCCCTGCCCACACTCCACACCCAGACCCCCTCCTACTTCTGGACGCGCTCTGCTTCCCCTCCTCGTTGCCCCTCAAGCCCCACCCCCAAACCATGTCCCCGCTGCCCGGGCAGGAGGAGGGTCTGTGACTCCGTGCCAGCTTCCTACAGGACCCTCCACCTGTCCACAGCTGCCCACCCATCTCTTATAATGGCCAGGATGTGGCTCTGAGGCCCCGCACCCTGGCCGGAGCTGGGTCAGGAAGAGGTGTGGGGAGCCTGGGTCCCTCCACCTGCCCTGGGCGGGGGCCCTGTGACACGAGCAGGGGCTGCTTCTGCCTCCACCTACCAGGCTGGGGCCAGTGGGGGCTGGCCTGCAGCCAGGGAGTCAGGGTGGCTGGAGCCGCTGCTCATGCCACCCACCCACCTGGCGCTCCGGTGGGGGTGGGGCGTGCTGCCCACCCACCACGCTGGGGGCCGCGCTCAGCCGCCTGCCCGCTCACCAGCCTGCCTGCCACTCTGGGGCTGGGGAAGGTGGGCAGCAGGGGCAGGGCCCCAGGCAGAGGGGGCGTGGCGGCCGGGGGGCTAGCCTCCCCAAGTCCCTGGTTCACCCACTGCCCATGGTGTCTAACTAACCCCAATCGTATTTGGAGGCTTTGGCCCTATAATGATTCAAATAATAAATAACAGATTATTATTTGTTGATTATATGTGGCTTGTTAGATAAGCCTCTTTCTATCTCACCTTCCTTCAGATGTTCAGCTGATATCACTGGTAAATATATAGTCCAAAGCTGCACAAAAAACAACTGCACGACAAGAGAATGTGAATATGATCAACAGACAAAGCTGTTTGAAGCTGGATGTACATTTGTACCAGACAAAAGACAAAATGTCCGAGCATCTATAATGAACATGCAAAGCCTCTCTTCTGTAAGTATTGTTACTGCTTTTTGACCTAATTGGATATTCGGGGTCTTGTAGGTTCTTTCCATTAGGAGAACCTGATATGGAGTAAAGTATTTCTTTGATGCAATCTTGTTAGTTTACAAAGAATATACACAAAGTCCTGTTACTCTGAAGTCAGCAGGAATCAAACAACAGGAGGTATTTTCTTTGTTCACAGTTCCAAGCGTCTTTCAACCCATCAGTCTGCCCAAAAAACTTTCCCTCCGCTTTCTGAGCAACATTTCCAGTCCTCCCTCCCCATGCCCAACATTTGCTGAAGTATAGTGAGGTGGATCCACTGGCTTTCATAAACCTTCTCATTGCCAGGCCTATTTGCCTCATCACCCACCCACCCATGCACCCATAAAGGATCTTACTTAGGGCACTGCTTTGCCCTGCAGCTCCCCTCTACTGAGAGAAAAACATTTCAGTAAGCAACCCAGTCCTATGCCAGACACAGATGGAGAAGGTCTGAGAGAGCGGTATCACCATGAGTTGGGGGTTGATGTCCTTCATGGCATGGAATCATCATAGAGGTGTACGATCCATGACCAGGGTGAATTAATTGCCAAGAAGGTAATATGGCCCATTTCACAGCTAAGTCCTCTTTTTCTATAATGGAGTAGGCCTATCTTGGGAACAATTTGTAACTCAGAATGGGATGTTCCTCACCATCAACCATTTGGGAGAAGACAGCCCCCATCCAGCTTCAGAAGCATCAGTGTGTAGGAGGAATTTCTTGGTGAAGTCCAGGCTGTATAAAATGGGCTCCCTACAGAGGTGAGCCTTTTGTGGCTGAAAGACCTTCTCACAGGTTTCCGTCCAACGGATCTTTCTCAGGCCGCTGTTCTTGAGCATATTGTTGAGAAAGGGCACAACATTTGAGAATCCTGGTACAAACTGGTAGCAGTATCCTGCCAGCCACTGCCCATGACCTGCTGTGAACACAGACCATGAGAAGTCCCACCTTCATGGGTCTGACAGACGGCAGCCCTATGACTCCTGATTGGCTCCCCACACTATATACATCTAAGGGGCATTCCAAGAAATGTCTAGGGAACCGCATGGATTCTCTGTAGCTGCCATGACTTCTCTCTGCTCCGATCTCAGCTTAATTGGGACTGCACCTTCTGACTTGGACCCCAAAATGTGACTTGGACTCTCATCCTTGTACTGATTCTGCCTTGGAACCAGACTATGCACTTCTCAGCTGCTCTCTACCTCAAATATTGAACCTGGCCCTTGTTGCTGCTACCACCATCTAACAGAAGGTTCACATGAGCTACAGATAGGCTTTCCCCAGCTTTCTATGGCTTTAAGAGATTGACATTCTGACAGGGTAATGTCCTGCTCCTGTCTTCTCTCTGTCTTCAGAGACTCAGGGACCTTAAATTGTCAAACACTCCAGTGCAGTTTATTTGCATTTGCTCTTCCCATCCCCTTAATGATCCATGCACCATAATTATTTACAGTTTCAGTTTCTCCTCAGTTCTCTGAGGAGAGGAGAGGGAAGGGATCTCTCTACTCAGTGATCCTTCCTGGTTTTGGCTCTGCTAGTCTGCCTTTCTCTCCCCTGCATTGCCTTCCTGTGCCTTTTTCTATCTCCTGTGTTAATGGGTCAATTTGCTCATTAGTCCTCCCCCAGCCCATTCTAATCCACTAATTAGGCCCTGTCAGGTCCACCCTGGGGGGGAATTAATTGGTGTTTAAGTGTACAAAGCACTGGCTTAGCTGTTGATTCCCCAGGACCCTCGAAGACCGTGGTGCTTGAGGCGCCTTTGTTCAATCCCGCATTCATTTCCTTTGGAAGATGGATTGCGGCTCCCACTTCTTCTATGCCCTGGAGAAAAAGAAGGGGGCTAAGAAGCATGTTACCTGCCTTTTGGCAGAGGATGGCACCCCTTCACGGATCCGGTGGAGATGCATGTGAGGGCCAAGACCTTCTATTCCAGACCCTTCTCCCTGGTCCAACTGACAGCGATGCCTGCAGGGTGCTCTGGGACGGAGTCCTGACGGTCAGCGCAGGTGACCAGGACCAGCTGGAGCTGCCTCTCACTTTGACCGAGTTCTCAGAAGCCCTCCATCAGATGCCCACTGATAAATCTCTGGGTATGGACGGGCTGACTGTGGAGTTCTACCACGTGTTCTGGGGCATCCCTCAGGCCGGACCTTGCCATCATCTGGGCTGAGTCCTTAGGAAGTGGGGTGACTCTCCTGTTATGCAGGCAAGCTGAACTCACCTTGCTACCAAAGAAGGGGGACCTCATGACCTTCGGAATTGGCGTCCCGTCTCGCTCCTCCCGGGACCTCCTCGGATGCGGGTGTAGGGATGGTCTGTCGTTCGCCTTCATGTCCCTTGACCAGGAGAAGGCATTTGACAGGGTGGAACACGGTCATCTCCAGGGCATTCTGCGGGCATTTGGCTTCAGGTTCGAGTTTGTGAGTTTTCTCCAGGTCCTGTATGCCTCTGTGAAGTGCTTGGTCAGGCTCAACTGGACTCTGACCGAACCTGTCAGCTTTGGGCGAGGGATGTGTCAAGGATGTCCACTGTCAGGCCAGCTGTACACCCTGGCCATTGAGCACTTCCTCCGTCTCTTCTGTAGGAGGTTAACAGGATGGGTGCTCCGTGAGCCAGAGTTGCGGGTGGTCCTGTCAGCATATGCTGATGATATACTCCTCGTGGTGCAGGACCTGGGTGACCTGTCGCAGGTTGGAGGACTGCCAGGCTATCTACTCGGTGGCCTCCTGCACTCCAGTCAACTGAGTCAAGAGCTCTGGCCTGGTGGCAGGGCCGGCTTTAGACCAATTCAACCAATTCCCCTGAATCGGGCCCCGCCCCTAAGAGGGACTGGCTCCCAAGCCCTGGTACCGGGGTAGCCCGGCTTCCCCAGGGGGCAATTTAAAGGGCCTGGGGCTCCCAGCAGGGGCTGGAGCCCCAGGCCCTTTAAATTGCCACCAGAGCCCCACTGCTGGAGCCCTGGGGTAGGGCTGCGGGGCTCTGGGGGCTATTGAAAAAAGTCCCCAGGGCTCCCACGGCTATTTAAAGGGCCAAGGCGGTAGAAGCAGGGGAGCCCCAGGCCCTTTAAATTGCCACCAGAGCCCCACTGCTGGAGCCCTGGGGTAGGGCTGCGGGGCTCTGGGGGCTATTGAAAAAGTCCCCAGGGCTCCCACGGCTATTTAAAGGGCCAAGGCGGTAGAAGCAGGGGAGGCCC